GGCTAGTAAACCTCCGAGGGGTTAACCGAAGCGAAGGTGTGAAGATTGCGTTAAGGCTGATCTGAAGGGATAGTATTTAATTTGATTTTTTGTTTTTAAGTAAGTCACGTCTTATGTTGAGTAGGAAGCGGTAACTAAAAAAAAAACAACGTTGAATCTCGGTTACAAGCGAAATGGATTCTCCTGGACTATTGGGTTTCACAATTTCTCACAGAGCATGGGGGTTTCAGAGCTAAAGTTCTTGGACAGGATATATATATATATATATATATCAATTTCAACCTTTTCCAAGTCAAATTCAACCTTTTCCAAATCAAATTAAACTTTTTCCAAGTCAAATTCAACCTTTTCCATTTCAAAATAAACCTTTTCCATATCAAATTCAACCTTTTCCATATCAAATTCAACCTTTTTTTTATTTACTTAATTATCTTTAATTTTTCGATGTGTGGGTCTGTTATCGTATGCGTAGTTTTTGAAAATAACCTCCATTTTAAGATTACGTGACTGCGTTTCGAATTATTTAAGTTTTTTTTATTTATTCGATATAAGGGTGTATTTTTATGTTTCCCGATCCGTAAATTTTGAAAATGACATCCATTTTATGTTTACGCCACTGTATTATGATTTATTTAAGTTTTTAGAATTTATCCAATATTAAAGGTCTGCTTTTATGTTTCCGGAGTAGTAGATTTTGAAAACGACCTCCATTTTATGATCAGGCCACCGTGCTTCGACTTATTTGAGTTTTTCCGATTTTTTTCATATGAGGGTGTACTCTTATGTTTCCGAAGCCGTAGATTTTGAAAGCGACCTTCATTTTATGATTAGGCCACCGCGCTTTTACTTACTTGAGTTTTCCGATTTTTCTCATATGAGGGTGTACTCTTATGTTTCCGGAGCAGTATATTTTGAAAATGGCCTCCATTTTAAGATTACGCCACTGCGTTTCGACATATTTAAGTTTTTTTTATTTATTCGATACAAGGGTGTATTCTTATGTTTTCCGAGCCGTAAATTATGAAAATAATCTCCATTTTATGACCAGGCCACAGCGTTTTGACTTATTTACGTTTTTCGAATTTATCTAATATAAATGTGTACTTTTATGTTTCTTGAATGAAAAAAATTTGAAACACTCAGAGAAATCGAAACGCGGTGGCCTAACCTTAAAATGGAGGTCATTTTCAAAATCTACGGCTCCGGAAACATAAGAATGCACCCTTTTATTAAAAAAATTCGAAACACTCAAAGAAGTCGAAGCGCGGTGGCCTAATCTTAAAATTGAGGTCATTTTCAAAATCTACGGCTCCGGAAACATAAGAATGCACCCTTTTATTAAAAAAATTCGAAACACTCAAAGAAATCGAAACACAGTGGCCTAATCACAATATGTAGGGCGTTTTCAAAATTTACGGCTCCGGAAACATAAAAGTAGACCTTTATATTGGATAAATTCAAAAAACTTAAATAAGTCAAAACGCTGTGGCCTGGTCATAAAATGGAGATTATTTTCATAATTTACGGCTCGGAAAACATAAGAATACACCCTTGTATCGAATAAATCAAAAAAACTTAAATATGTCGAAACGCAGTAGCGTAATCTTAAAATGGAGGTCATTTTAAAAACTAGGTACAGAACATCATAATACTAGTCACTAATAAATCCAAATGGGTACAATAAATCGATATCCGTAAGTGAAAATTCTACTTAGGAGAGCATAATAATATACTTTCATATTGGAGGGGGGGAGGGAATGGCCATTATTTAAAAAAAAATATAAAATTTGAAATGAAAACGGTTGAATTTGAATTGGAAAAGGTTTAATTTGAAATGGAAATGGTTGAATTTGACTTGGAAAAAGTTTAATTTGATCTGGAAAAGGTTGAATTTGACTTGAAAATAATTAAATATGAGATAGAAATATACACTTAAAAAATCCAAAATGTTAAAATAAATGGATATGCAATCGCGTTATCAATTTTTTTTTTTTTTTTTTGTATTTTTCAAAAGCTATGCCTTCGAATTAGCTACGGTAAAATTTCGAAAAAAATCGAAAATTTACAAAAATTCGAAAATTGAATTTGAAATGGAAAAGGTTGAATTTGACTTAGAAAAGGTTGAATTTGAAATGAAAAAGGTTTAATTTGACTTGGAAAAGGTAGAATTTGATTTGGAAAAGGTTGAAATTGACTTGGAAATGCTATAGACCCTCACTGCCCCGCTTATGTTATGGTGTACCCGAGAATGTTGAGCACGTGGTCATACAGTGGCTTTATTATTAAGCCTTATTAAGCCACTGTACATGATCACCGCCTGCACTGCTTTCATGGATTAAGAACCAGGTTAATGAGAACCACGGGAATATACGTCCTCACTGAGGAGGAGTTTCCTTAGTTGGTGAGTGAAGAAAACTTCGGTAGTTCAAAGAGTTCATAAATGGCTGGAAGTCAGCGATGGGTCCAGCTCACTTTAACCTAGGTGCCTGCAGAAGAAGATGACTAAGGAAGCCTGCATTCCCAGGAAGATCCCCATATTCGGGAAGTCAGGCCTAAGGAAAATTAGAAGAGCTGTGTGCACAGCTTTGAATTTTGTAAACCGATATTATGGCAGTAGTGTGATATTATGCATTAATGCTTAACATCACATTACTGCAAACACCCGTGTTGCCCTGGTGGCATGAAAGGGTGGGAAAAATAATAATAATAATAATAATTAAAATATAGGTAAGTGAAAGTAAAAATATTTAATTTAAGTTGCAAATGCTCCCAAGTAAACTAAACAAAAATTAATTCAAAATAAAGTAGGATTACTCATTGTTAAAATCATTTAAGGAGGACATTTGCTCGCCTAAATTAAGATATGTCCTGTTTTTTTTATAAGATTATTTGTATTAAAAAAATCTTAATTTATCCTAATAGGATTAGGAACATTTAGTTGGTCGTTTATAAATACGGAACAATTCCTATAATAGAAATGTTAGTAAAACACACTAATTACCAGTTCAGATAATAAATCCTTGAAAAACAATCATTTTTAACATTTTTTAAAAATAAATAAAATTGTATTTATGGATTTATATTTGTTATATTACATCCCAGGACATGGAAAAAAAGAAGCTTTGCAATAATTTATTGTAATCATTTCTGCTTATAACACAGGTACTTATAGGTGACAGGGTATACAATTTTTATACATAATGTGAGGTGAATCACAAAAATTTTCCCAAATAAACTTTAACTTAATTAATATGTACTTAAAGCTTATTAAAGAAGGGATTTTTTTCTAAAATTATAGTTTCTATAATATAGTTGAAGGGTGATAAAAACAAATCCCAAATAATTTATGATTATTTTAAAAAACAGGACTTAGCTCAGTTTAGCCACTCGAAATTCTTCATTAAATGGTTTTAACAATGACAAACTCTACTTTATTTTTAATCAATTTCGGTATAGTTTAGTGGAAGCAATTGTTAATTACTTAAACTAAATATTGCTTTTAATTATCGTTTCCTGTGAAAAACTGTAACCTGTTTTAAAAAATACAAAACTTAAATTTCTCACTTTTCTGCTCAAAATATTTATACATTATTTATATAAACTTTATTGTAGCACTTGAGATCTGCTATCACCCTTTTAAATATTTCTCTCTATTAACTGGACACCTTGTATATAGAAAATAAAATGCATGAAGAGAAAATTCTATTTCAACAAAAACTAAATCGTAAGGAATTTAAGTTCATATTCAAAAGTATAAATATAAATAATAAAACCGAAACTATGTCTTTGTTTTTAGTAAATAACACTCTATAGTAGATTAAGTAATCAAAAAGATTGCCCACAATAGTTTTTAAGCCTGTTGCGTAACCAAATTATAAGCGTATACAATATAGAAAATTAACATAGATTATTAGATTTATTATGACTTGTAATTTAAAGATTAGAATAGAATTAGAAAAATAATTTTATTCTGGGACAAAGTTTTTTTTTTTTTTATTTATAATTTTATTGAAATTTACAACTGTATTATATTAAAAATACAACAGGTAAATGTGACATTGGTAACATGACATATAAAATATGAAGAGAAACTACCCATTGGTAGAACTCAAATTAAAGTTCTATATTAGAAGATCCCGAGGCCATCTTCTTTTCAGACGCCTCGGAGGGTTATCTGGGATAGAGGAGGAAGTAATGTTTGAAAAAAGAGGGTTCGGATGGTTCTGCAGTTTGTTATGGAAGGATAGGTATCTGGATTGGGCCAAATCGGAAACATATGGAACATTAAGGTCATTATGGATGATTATGTTTGTGACAAAGTAAGGAGCGTTGAGGATTTTACGAAGGATTTTGGATTGTAAGGATTGGATACGAGAGGAATTCAATGGCTTAGTGGAGCCCCAGAGCTCAATTCCGTAGGTCCAAATAGGTCTTATTATTGTCATATATATGAGTCGTTGGTAATTGAGTGAAAGCTTAGAGCGTTTGTCTAGTAAGTGTTGGAGTAGTCGGAAACGTCGAGCGGTTTCTTGTCGTTTCAGTCTTGTATAAGGATTCCATGTGAGTCATTTGTCGAGGTGGAGTCCTAGGTAACGAATTTGTTCAACTGGGATAAGTGGGGAATTGTTAAAGAATACTGTAGGACAGGAGGTCATAGGTTTGCGACGCAGGGTAAAGGTAATTTGATGGGATTTATTGGAGTTTATTTTAATCCTCCAGTTTTGACACCATTCTTCAAGATTTGTGATGTGTGATTGGAGAGTTTGGGATGCAATTGATGGATCGTTGTTAACTGATAGGATACACGTGTCATCGGCATAGGTGGTGATGACAGTGTTGGCTGGGACAAAGTAACTTTAGAATAACAACAAAGTACAAAATTAAAGTATTATATCTGGCCTAAGTAAAAACAAACATAAAAAGTAAAAATAAAAATAAAAAAAGTAAAGAAAATAATTACTGGTAGTTTAAAATATTTATGACATACCTATAGTTTCAGAATGGCTCTTGACCGCCGGGCAGGGATACTTTTAATAGCCATCGAAATAATAATGATTCCATTATTCGCTTTTCAACTGTACTATGGGAGAGATGCCGACCCCGTTGCTTTGAAAGCGAAATCAGCTCATCTTTCATACTACCCAAGTAAGTTATTTTGTTTTCATTGATTTTTTTTTCTCCATAAATAATTATGATAAAATAAAAAAATAATATTGGTAACTAAAATTTTCATTTCAGAACTCTTAAATTAAGTTATTTATATTTGAGAATCTATTTAAAAAACTATATTTCTTCTTTTTTTATTTTATTATGCTTCCTATCTCTCATACCAACTTTTTTACATCATAATTTTTTCTCCAAGTCCAGGAAGATGTAGAAAAGGAGTTATTTATTCTCTTACTATCTTATTCAAATTTTTCATAAAGATGTGGCAAATCTCACATAAGTATGGCTAGGTTAGGCTAGAAGATCTGCTATCAAAAACAGGAGGTGTTAATAATTTTCAGAAGAATAATTGCTGATGATTTTGACCACAAATTATAAGTATAAAATTAAGAAAATTATACTTAATAATTATTTGGTAAATTTATAATTTTGTAAGTAAATCATAAATCATTGGTTTAATGAATAAGTTTTATGTTTCCTTTGTTTGTTTTATTTTTTTTTTCAAACTTTATTTAATATACTGTAAAACTTTGTTTAGTATACTGTTGTAATGATATTTTTTTTTTTAACAATAACTTACCAAAGATGTGAAAAAAATAACACTGATAGTTGAAACCTAGGAACAACAGAGCTAAACAAATATAGGAGAGATATGTATTTGAAAAAAAAAATTAGGTATTAGTACTAAATAATACATTATTAATTAATTAATTCTTTATTGAGAAATATTACATTCTGTTATACTCAAGAACATTAGCAATAGTGATAAAGTAGCTCGTTCACACTCTATGTACAATAAATAAAAACAAATTAAGCAACAAAATAATAATACTAAATGTAAATGTTTATAATCAAAAGAAACTAAACTAATCTAAAAAACAGAAACTAAATTAACAACATAAATATACTCATACTTTTATACAATATTTACGAAATTCATTCACTCAGGAAAACTCCAAGCAAAGCCTTTCTCTCCACTTGTGGAAGGAAAGGCAGAAGTTTAGGATATCCCAGCACCTCTCATTCAGCCACATCACTGGAATGTAGTATTAAGTAATGATCAACAAAAAAAAAGATACAATGAAATGTGGAAATGGGAATGGAGGGAAATGCAATTAAATTCATCAATAAAAGTCAACAAGAAAACTCCAGGAACTTTCTTTAATTACATCATTAATTTTTATTGAATAAGAAAACATTTTCCTTCTATAAATAACTCATATAAAGATATTTCATATTTCACTGTGTTTAGCACCAATTTTAAAACAAAACCAAAAATCTACAATCCAACATAAATGCATCTTAGAGTCCAAAGCATAAATAATTTTTAATTAAAATATTTTTGAAGTGTTTCAGGACATACATGTTATGTTACTCGTGGGATTTGGATTTCTTATGACATTCCTTCGTAAATATGGATTTAGCTCAGTTAGTTTTAACTTCCTCCTCTGTGCAGTAATGATGCAGTGGGGTCTATTGATGCAATCACTTTTCAAAGGCCCAGGAATAACAATTATCAGGTATATATAACAAAAATAGTAGCTTATTACTTATAAAATTTTGAAAGTTTGACGATTCGCTAAATATTTTAAAGGTTGCTCAGCTATGATAATTATTAAGTAAGATTCCTTTATTTAAAAAAAAAATATATATATAGTTCAGTACAGCTTATTCATTCATATCCAGTCTTAAGCCACTTTTTACTTTATTATTATTTGTGCTGAGTTTCTTCAGATAATGTTCAAGAACTGAATTATAATATCATTTTAATTATGAGTAACAGCATTAAGTGTTTTTAATTATTAGTTAGTAAAAAAAAATAAATAAATAAAAAATATTTTGTTTGCAAGTAATATGGAGAGTGTATCTATAAATATGTAATTAAATATTCTTCCATTCTTGATAGAAACATTTGAAATTATTGAGTGCCTATTGCATAATGGAATAGGTTTATTAATGGAATTATAATGTGAAGCTGCTAATTATGCTTCAACCAAGGTTGGACCCACAGTAGTAGAATGATTTCTCAATTGCTCTGTTATAATTACAAATCAAAATTAAATATGTTTGATTTTATTAGAAATAAACAAAAAGTATGCCTACTTGTCAATAATGTTTTTACAATTTGAATAATTGATTAATTAGATTAATACTCATAATTATGCATCTCAAACATCTTCTATGTATTAAACAAACTCTTCAGAACAATAAATTTTTCTCATCAAACTAATTACCTGAAAATATATGGGGTCATCTTAAGCCTGAAGGTATGTAAATCTAAACAATTCCCTTAAATCTACACTACTGAAGCAGATAACAGATAAAAGATTAGATAAAAATATTGTTTACATTATAAATATTTTGTATCAGTGGATTTGAAATACTCTAAGGTATATTAACAGTTTTTCTTAACAACTATGATAATTGTTGTTTTTTATTACTTCAATTTGGGCAGTTTTATTGAAAAATATTATGAATTAAAACAGAAATAATGGATTCCTACGGCACTAAAAAAATCTCAATTTTATTTTTAATACAATATATTATATTCAAATAAACTAAGAAAATAAAAGCCATATTTATTTTTTTAAAAGATTTACAGATTGAAAATAAATTTGGTATGATGAATCATTTTTATCTTGAGGTTTGAATTGTTTTGAAGAAACAGGACTAATCCTGTTTGCTTTTCATATCACAGACTATTTACTTCCTTAGTACTATAAAATATTAGTCATAGGTATATATTTAAAGATGTTGGAATCATAATTCTTATGATATTGTTGTGCAGTTTGATCGAGACTGACATTCTGGTTGCTGCAGTACTCATTTCATTTGGCTGTATTCTTGGGAAAACATCACCAATTCAGATGGTCTTAGTGGCATTTTTGGAAGTACCGGTTTACTTACTCAATGCACACATTGGGGATAAAATAAGTGTAAGTGTTCGGGTATAACAAGTTCGACTTTAATAAAACCTTGAAGTATAACCATTAACCCATTTTTCTATGAAATAAGAGTTTATTTATAACGGATATAACAAGATATTGTCATGAAGGAATTTAAAAGTTTTTATCAACCATATAATGCATAGTATTATTAATTTGAAGGTATGGAAAAAATATATTAAGCGATTCAGAAAAAAAAAGTTAAAACAAGTAGACTCTTTCTGCTCAAAGAGTGATCATGTTCCAAAATGTGTTCCGGTCCCTGAACCTGAAACTTCATGTAAGCAAAGTTCATTTGAACAACTCTCATTGTATTCCACAGATAGCCTAGAAGAAAACTGTTTTTTCTTCAGAAAATATGACAGCAATAAAAGCTACCATCTAAAGTCAGCAAGCTCTGAAAGTATTATTACTAACAGCATTATAAGTGATATTAGTGAAGATAGCTTACAAACTGGGTCTTTAAGCAAAGATAGTTTATACAAGCCAATGAAAGGACATATGATAAATACAAACAACTCTACTGGAAGCCTCAAAACAATAGCAGATTTTTCAAACAAAGCTTTATTTTCAAAATGTCAAAGCAGGGATCGATCTCAAACCATAGGACATTCATACCAACTAGAAAAAAAATTCAAAAGAAGAAGCCAAAATTTCTGTATAGATGACCAATCACACAACCGCAATAAAAGGCCATCAAGTTATGAAACAAAGCAATTACTACATGAAGCTGTAAGTACTGATAGCTTAGATAATCTATTCACTGGAAATCTTTATTCATTAAAAAGTCAATTTATTAGTGAAGATAGTCTCAATGAAGAAAAAAAAGAAGACTTTAATAAATTTGTTAGCGCCCATAGAATGAAATCGATTAGTGATGGCCTTTTACATGAAACTCGATACTTTCAAAATCTTTTTAACAACAGAGATTTTGTTATATATAATAAAATCTTATTGAATGAAATTAAAAGTCTATACAATATAGAGAAAATAAACCTGAAATCAAATCATGATCGACTCAGTTTGATCTCTTTAATTGAATTACAATATATAGAAAAGTATAAAAGCCAAGATGATAAAGAGAGCATAGATAGCTTATCTATTCATAAATCTGGATTTATGAGAAACATAAGTTATGGGGTTCCACAATCATCTTTAAAAATAAATAGACCATTTTCCCAAAACATTCCACCATATATACATGCTGTAACTGAAAATTATGAAAGTGAAGATGAAAAAATGAGCATAGATAGTTTGTCTATTCTCTCTCATTCTGAACTTTTTAAGAATACACATTCTAAAATTAAAGAAGGGTGTTTAAAAAGAAATAAATCATTTTCACCAAATACATTCTGGCATAAAAATAGTGTAGCTGAATACTCAGAAAGATTGAACTGTTCACCAAGAACAAAAGGAGACCAACATGACAGCAAAAGGTTTGAAACAAACCAGTGTTATCAGCATACAATGAATAATATGATATATAATTTAAATGGTCATGAATTTAAAAAATCTAACAGCACTAATAATTCCTCTCACAAATTAGTGTACTGTAGGGATAATGGAAATGAGGACTCAATTAGTGTGGATAGTTTGTGTGATTCTTTAAATTAAATAATGTTAAAATATATATTATATAAAAAATTAATGTAGTTACACTACATGGTGATTTATAATTAAGTTATACACTCATTCAATAATTGGGATTTGGTTCATTATGGTTAAAAATAGGTTACATAATCATAAGCTATTTGCATGAAATATTTTTGATGAAAAACAACAAAAAATTAAGGAATGGTTTTATATGTTAATGTCAAATTATGGTTAATTTATGTAATGTATTGAACCAGTTAAGATCCTAAATGAAATTATTATCTTATAACTTTCAACAATATAAGGCTGTGAAAACATTGATGAATATTAATTTATTAATTTATTATACTGTTAATATTTTATGATAACTAAAATTGTCTACTTAATCAATTGTTTCTATATATTTTTTTTTCTTACCCCCCACTACTTGCTGAATTTTGTATGAGAAGTTAGGATAAATTGCAATTAAAAATCACGTGTTTTTTATTTAACTAGTGGAGATCACAAGTAGATCTACAAGGAGCGGAGGAGCTTTTGTGCTGAAGCCTCCCCCTAAATGGTAAAATATAACCATGTCTTCTGAAAAAAATTATCACTAAAAGTATTATTGTTCGTGTAATTACATTTAATAGGACTTCAAGAATGACTTAAACGCCATTTCAAATAGGTAGTTAGGTTCTTTCTTTTTCTTCCAAAGTAATTATCGTTTATACATATAATGCATTTGTTTGTTTCCATAGTGGATATCATTGATGAATTTTAAGGAAACATGAAAAATTTTATTTTCTATTTTTATAGTGATATCAAAACCAATATTTTTTAAATTATAAGTAAAAAAATCACTTACATGTACCACATATTTCTGAAAACCATTGATCATCTTTGTAATGAGTTGAAAACTTTGTTTAAAAAAGTTTTTTAAATAAGACGACTTGTGGAATGAATCACACTTCTAGGTCGGTTATGGAACAATAAAGATGGGTTGATATGTAGTTCGGAAAGGAAAAATGGTATACAATTTCAACAAAAAACGTTATTTTGAATATTTAATAGTTGACCGTTTCATTATAAAGGAAGGAGATGGTCCGGGGTGGCAATCATAAATAGGCTAAATAATGGTAAAACTATTTTATTGAAAGCCTACGTTTCGATCCGACTTTGCAGGTCCTCTTCAGGCCTAGAACGGACAAGATACAAAAAGATAGAGAATTGTGGAAGTTACATAATATTTAGACAAAAAATTATAAACACTGTGAATAAGCTTATTAAAATTATAAACAGTAAGTACATTAAAATAGGAACAGAGTAAGTTAAGTAACAAGATCCTAAGCTGAAGTAAATAAATGCTAACAATTGTTGTAGTGTAATATATAATAAATGCAGATGTGAATATACTTCTACAGATCTGCAGGAGAGATTGAAAGAAAAGGAAAAAGGATATAATATGAATGATAGACATAAAGGAATGTGGAGAAAGAAAAGAAAACCAAAAAATTAAATAAATAAGTAAATAAAATTAGAGACTTACAGGTGTGTTCAGCTAGGAGTTTCACTCAGAACTGGAAAACCAGGGTAAGGGCAGGTATTGGGGAAGATGATTTGTTTAGGTAATGGGGAAAAACCTAGGAAATTACAGTATCTAACATTTGAAGACATGGATGGATACAAGGGAAAAATACTACATCTATGAAATATTAAATTATAAATCTATACATATACATATAAAATAGAATTAAGAGATATCTCTTAATTCTATTTTATATGTATCCATCCATCTCCTTTCTTTAACATTTTAACTTTTTTTTAATATCATTAGTACACTAAATAATTTTTATACAAAAAAAGTTTGTGATGAATTATTTGTTTTTTTAATACTTAAAATAATCCAAGTATTGTTATACTCCTTGGAAAAATTACAATTGTACCTATGTTCATTAAAATAGGTTGAAGCAAACACATTTATTAACCTTTTAATTCTAACATAACATAACAAGCATATCAACACTACTCAATAATTATACATGTAAGATAGAAATAGCAATATTTAAGTTTGGAAAAAAAATATTTACGTAGGCATATTAAAATTTTTAAAGGCAAAATGCGATATTTTTTTTTTATTTTCTTCCAAATAGACTCGGTTATTTTCAGAAGTATTACATATTTTTCACATGACTTTTTTGGAGAGGGAGGAGGGGGGGGGGGGCAACGAATGGCTGTTAAAATATTTTAATAACGTCAAATAATACCAACAGATCAGCTTGACTGAATTTGAAAAACTTTTATCAATCACAGGAAAATCGCATGCATGCTAGACAAAGAAGATATAATAAATTATTATTCTTTAGAAAAAAAAAGTACAAAAGGACCACCTGTAAATAGAATGAAAAATTAGGAATTATTTCACACTTTGATATGGTTTAAAGCAAAGGTTGAAATGAAATCAGCTTACAATCTCAGAACATTCTGCAATACAATAAAATACTGCTCAAAGCTAGTTAAAGAAATATACTTATTTTCACTCCATTATTTTAACACTTAAGTTGGTTTAAAAAAAATATTAATAATTAAAACATCGAATACATTGAGTATTTTTCTGTAGGAATCCATACATATCTCTGAAGAAATCAATTATATTTCGTTTTGGAAATAAGTTATGTTAAATAAATTTTAAAAAAATAATAATAATAAATACAAATAGAGAGAGAACATGTAATGATTGTTAAAGTACTTATCACAGGTCATTTACAGAAATAAATATAAACCAATGAAAAACAAATCATCGTCGGCTTATTGCAAAAAGTCATTGTGTATTTTTGATATACAGTGGCCAAAAAAAGCATTTGTACACCATATTTCTTAGTCAAAAATCTTTGTATTTATATTTTCAACATGATGCAACTATAAATAACAATTAGAAATTTTGTTTTACATTAATTGTACAAAAAGTAAAATTTTATGACTCATATTGTATAAATAGTATTCAAATATGAAGCACAAAAAAAATAATATTCATGCATTTAACTAATCCAAAGAAAATATAATAAATATCAATCTCAATTAATTCTTATATTTTGTAGAGTACCCTATTGTGGTTATCACATCATTGAGTCTTCTTGGCATCGATTCCATGAGCCTCTTGGTTTCCTCTGGCCCAATTTCTTCCCAAGCTTTCTTAAGATTGTTTATTAATTCATTCCGACCATGTGTCATGGTATGTTTTTCATTACCTATAAATGAATGAGTAAACTTTGGTATTTTCAAAGTAAAAATCTGAACAAAATTGTGATTGCAATTAGCTATTGAAATTTAATCACATAATTAAAGTTGTTGTTATTTAATAATTTAAAAAACAGTCCATTAAACACTTGTTTCATTATCTCAGCTTGAATGATAGGAAA